TGTAGATGAAGACTACAATTATGATAGCGCATAAGATGTTGCTTTTGAGGATGAGTTTGATGGGTGCGATGAGATTAGGGAGGATGAACTTGATGCCCTAGTTGGTCATGAAAATGATGGTAACGGAGAAGGTGTAGAAAATGATGGTAAAGGAAGTGACAATGACAGTGAGGAAATGCAAAGTGGTTGTGACAGTGATGATAGAAGTGGAGTTGTAAGAAAAAAACATCAAATTTTCAGACAGCCAAAAGACATGTTAAATTACAAGTGAGATGTGGGAATGTACTTTAGTTCAAAGGATGATTTTAGGGAAGCAATAACAACATATGTTGTTCAAAATGGTAGAGACCTAAGGTTTGTAAAAAATGACAGAGTTAGGGTAATGGTTAGATGTAAAGTTGGTTGTGAGTGGGAGGCTTATTATAGCAAGTTGTCAATTGAAGACACTTGGCAACTCAGAAAAGTAATTGATAAACACAATTGCAGTAGGGAGTATAATGTGAAGCTGATGAGTACAAAGTGGTTGAGTAAAAGAATTCAAAATAGCTTGAAAAACAATCCAAGGTTGAGTATAAAGGATATCAAGGAGAAGGCATAAAAAAAGTGGAATGTTGGGGTCAACAAAACCAAAGCTATAAGAGCAAGATTCGCAGCTAGAGACTATGTAGATGGTTCCTTTTTGGGAGATTACACAAGGGTCTATGACTACTGTCATGAACTGTTAAGAGCCAATCCAGGGTCAACAGTTAAGCTCAATGTTGAGCCTGTACAAGTAGGTGTTGAGGATGAAAGACCATATTTTAGAAGGCTTTACATATGTTTTGCTGCATGTAAGGAAAGCTTTAAGTTGTGCAAGCATGTAATAGGTCTAGATGGGTGTTTTCTTAAGGGGTTGTGTGGAGGGCAGATACTGGCTGCCATTGGGAGGGATCCTAATGATCAGATGCTTCCCATATCATATGCAGTTGTGGAGAGTGAAAACAAGGATAGCTGGACTTGGTTTTTAGAGCTGTTAATTGATGACCTTGGAGGCAAAGATGAATGTCTGACTTACACCTTCATCTCAGACCAACAAAAGACAAGTTTTTCATTTATTCATATGGTTTTATGTGTTTATGTGTTTATGTTATGCTATTTCTGTTATGCTATATTGTAATGCTACATTGTATGTTATTGCAGGGTCTGCTACCTACTATGGATGAGTTATTGCCAAGGGTGGAGCACAGGTTTTGTGTTAGGTACCTTTATAACAATTTTAGAAAAAAGTTTCCTGGAAAGATGTTGAAGGACATAATATGGAAGGCTGCCAAGCCAACATACCCACAGGCATGGGAAAAAGAGATGAAGGGAATGAGGGCCATCAATGAAGAAGCATTTAAACATATAATGAAGACCCCACCAAGGTTTTGGAGTAGATCTTACTTTAGGACTGAAAACAAATGTGATGTTGTTCTCAACAACATGTCTGAGTCCTTTAATAGTGTCATTCTTGAAGCAAGGGCAAAACCTCTAATCACTATGTTAGAAGACATCAGAACATACATGATGGGGAGATGGGAAAATAACAGACTGAGATTTGGAACTTTGGATGAGAATGATATTTTGCCCAATATTCAAAAGAAACTTGATGTCACAAGCACATACACCAACAACTGGCTAGTAAGGTATGCCACAACATGTGAGTAATGTATTTTGTTTGTTTATGACATACATGTGACTAATGTACTTTTGTTTGTTTAATCATTTAGGATGTCTGATGAACATATATTTGAAGTAAGACACATAGAAAATCAAGCTGACAAGTTTGTTGTGAACCTGAAAGATCAGATATGTTCATGCAAAAGATGGGAACTCACAGGGCTCCCATGTGTTCATGCTCATTCTGCTATGAAGAGTAGGAATTTCAAGCTGGATACTTACATTCCAGATTATTACAGGGTTTCAAGGTACAAGGCAGTTTATAATCATGTGATCTACCCTGTTAATGGAGCAAACTTGTGGGTTAAGACACCATACCCAGATGTGCAACCACCCAAGTTCAGGAAGATGCCAGGTAGACCTAAAAAGAAGAGGAACCTAGAACAAGGTGAAATTGATAGGTCTGCTCGCAAATTGAGAAGAACAGGTTTTCTGGTGAAGTGTAGTAGGTGTAAGAAAGCAGGACATTACAAATCTACTTGTAAGGACACAACAACTCAACAACCTAGCCAACAATCAGCCCAACTCAATCACACTCCATCTCAAACTGCTCAACAAACTAGTCAACACACTCCATCTCAGACTGCTCAACAAATTAGTTACGACACTCCTACTTCAACAAGTCAGCCTACTCAACAATCTTGCCAAGCATCTCAGACTTCTAATGGAAAGGATGCTAAGGGCAAGACACAAAAGCTGCCTGTAAGGAAGCCAACAAGACCTTTTGTGCCACCTGGACCTACAACTAGGTTGAGTGCTGCGAAGAATGTGGTAGGCCCAGTAACAAGGAGGTCTACTCCAACAAAGAGGATCACCCCAAAGAAGAAGCTATAAGTTGTGGAACATGTGAATTTAGTTACCTAAAACAAGATTATGTATTTTACTGTTGTCGTTTTAGAACAAGTTTATGTATTTTACTACTGATGTTGTCATTAACAAGTTTATAATTTGGAACATGTTGTACTCTACTGCTGTCATGAACAAGTTTATAATTTGGAACATGTTGTACTCTACTGCTGTCATGAACAAGTTTATAATTTGAACATGTTGTACTCTACTGCTGTCATGAACAAGTTCTATAATTGTTGTATTCTACTGCTGTCATGAACATGTTGTTTTTGGAACAAGTATATTTTGTGGAAAGTATTATAGGTTTATGTATGTTGCTGTTGTTGTTTATACCAAATATGTATCCTGCTGTTATATACCAAATATGCTGCTATATACCAAATAGGCTGTTATATACCAAATATACTGCTATATACCAAATAGGCTGTTATATACCAAATAGGTATTATAAAATGAACCTAAAAGCAGAACCAACTTATGCATGTTGTTGTTGTTGTTTATAGGTATTATGAAATATAATCCAAACTGTTATATGTATGCTGCTGTTAGATACCAAACTGTTATATACCAAATATAATCCAAACTGTTATATACCAAACATAAAAAAAGTGTTATATACCAAACTGTTATATACCAAATATAATCCAAACTGTTATATACCAAACATAAAAAACTGTTATATACCAAACTGTTATATACCAAATATACTCCAAATATATCATTGAAAGACCAAAACTGTTATATACCAAACATAAAAAACACACCAAATTAAAACACTTTAACCAAGTTAACATTATCTTTAACTGTTATATTCATTCATGTTGAACGACAGAAACTGAAATTAACTAAACTGATACAATCCATATATTAAAATCCAACTATTACATTCATGTTGAAGTGATACAAACTTTAACATAACATAATACTTCCAAACAAACCGTAATAACCTAACTACCCCTAACAACTAATACAATGATAATCATCACAAACATAAAATTCAAAATCTTTTTCCACTTCATGATATTCTTCATTTCAATTTCAAGTTTCATCAGCTTTTTTCCTAATTCTTCATTCTCCATTGTCGCTTTTTCAATGCCCTTTTTTGCTTCAGCAAGTCCCTTAGTTACCACACCCATCCTATGCATCCAAAATTGCTTCTTCTCATCACCCATCTCCTCATAAAACCAATCAAAGAAGCCACAACCAGCTTGCATACCTCCCTGTAAGTTTCATTGTTTAGAGGATGATGGATAATGATTTTAAAATTAAACAAAAGTATAACTTTAACAGAGAACAAAACCAGCTTGCATACCTTATAATTTGGACAACCCCAAAAAAGTTTTCCCATATTCTTAACAGTAGTTGCCCTTTGAAGAACAATCATGTCTCTACAATGGCACATGAGCTTCCATCGTGACCGACTACAAACATCTGAATCCCGACTTTTCGTTTTTGAAATGGAAGAGGAACATCCGGATTTCATGTTTGCCAAATAAAAAAACCCTAGATTAACGTTTACAGATTTGAGATTGAGATTGGGATTTGGGATTTGGGATTTGGAATTATTTTAGGGATTTCAACGGAAGGTGGAGGGAGAAGGAAACCACATTATGAACAAGATTGTCATGTCATCTGCCATATATACAAAACTAATGGACGTTTGGGGACAACTGACGGTGAGGACTAAAATAACACCATTTTAAAAGTTAAAGGATCAAATTGCCACTTTTTAAAGATAAGGGACCAACATGGACCCCGAGATAAAATTAAGGGACCAAAAAAATTATTTTGCCAAATTTATTTTACACTGTCAATCAATGATAATCATGTATTCCACCAAATCATATTGAAAATTTTAAATTAATTATATAACATGGCAGAATGATATATTCTTATTGAATGAATGTATATTTTTACACTGTCAGTGTATAACAATTAAACCATTTAAAAAACATTTATCCTATTTTAGAATAATTAATCATTTATTTTATTGTAATTTATTTATTTATTAAAGTCATATTTATGATCACTTCATAATTATTTCACATAAAAAATGGCCACTTATTAAAAAAATGGCTATAAGAACACTAGCGAAAAAATAAATAAACAAGTGGTGTCTTGGCAGTGAGTTGCTTTCAATCCAACAATGGCACCGCGAGTGCAACACTGTTTAAAATTATCCACAAAATGATTCTGTTGGATACGTTTTTCTTCATCCACCGAATAAAAAAATAAAATAAAACTCATGTTCAACAAAATCACGACACGACTTCACCCCAACATCCTACGTGAGCCACAAGATTCATTCAACTTCTCCACTTTTCCATGTCGGACTCCGACGATTTCATTTCTTCTTTCTTACTTTTCATTCTACATCTCACGTGTCTTTCTCTCATACTCACACAACTCTTCTCATCAATTCTGTCACCAAGTTGAATACAGTTCTAACAAAGATGAAAAAGGTGCAACCTTAATTGTTGTTTTTGTACTATTTAATCATTATAATTGGTTTTTGATACATGATACATGTTTTGTATTTTGACAAGTGTAGGATCAAGATGGATTAACTAGAGTTTCTTTGAATTCTGGATCACATTCTGTTGCACATATTCAACTCAGCGATCAGTTATCTTGGGCGAATGACTTTGCTCTTAAGGTTCTTTCTTACTTTACTTTCGTTTCTCTTTAATCTTCTATACCGGTTTATGTTCTAACATGTCTTCTTTCTAATTCTATAGGTAAGGAAACCATATACTATAACAAAACAAAGAGAAAAATGGACAGATGAAGAACATAAGAACTTCCTTGAAGCCTTAAAGCTGTATGGCCGCGCCTGGCGACGCATTGAAGGTATCATTGGTTTTAAATTTTGATATGAAAGAAAACTGTTTGGTTTAAGTTTTGAGATTCTTTATTTTCATCACAGAATATATTGGTACAAAGACTGCGGTTCAGATTCGAAGTCATGCTCAGAAGTTTTTCTCTAAGGTCTATTCTTTCCGGCGCATTTTTTATACCATTAACCATAAACAAAAACTATGTTAAGATTTGTAACTTTGTGGTTCAATTTTCCTCTTGATTAACTCAATTGTCTTGATTCCGTGTTAGGTTCTTCGCGACAAAAGTGGATGCATTACAAACACTAAGGAGTCAATCAAAATTCCTCCTCCAAGACCGAAACGTAAGCCTATGCATCCTTACCCTCGCAAGCGGGCTGAAACGGCCGGTTGTAAAGAAATTTCTGTCCCAAGAAAGGAAGTGAATTTTAATTCTATAAAGGCATCAGATTTTGATCAAGAAAATCAATCTCCGAAATCAGTATTACTTACAAACGGTTGCGAAAGCCTTGGTTCGTCGGATTCAGATAAACCAAATGGAAGTTTGTCTCCAAGATCTTCGATTAGCTGTGTCTGTGCAAGTGTTTCCACGCCTGCTGAATTCGAAACAGAATCAGAAGAAGAAGCTGGGCAAGATGCTGATTCACCTCCTGATGAGAAGCCTCTTATGGTAACTAACTTCCTAATCCATTTCATGATTTCATCTAATTGAGAACAATATCATGAGAAAATTGTGCGTGATTTATATATTCGTCTGTTTGATTCTATCCCTAGATACCTGAGATTCTCCCCAATGAAAGTTTTTCTGCAAAAGAAAGCATAGCAGAAGAATCATCTCTTCGAAGTCTTAAACTTTTTGGGACGACTCTATTTGTAACAGATACTTGCAGACTGTCTTTTCCAACAATTGAGGCATGCAAACCAATAATACATCATGACAAACATGTAAGCAAGGGTGAACAAGAATCGGATTGTCTTGGCAATAGTTCACTATGTGAAACAACAGCCATATCTCAGTTAAGAGTGAGAGTGAGACGCGAAACATGCGGAAAAGGGTTTGTGCCTTATAAAAGGTGCATGTCAAAGAAGGAAAACCAGTCTTCATCTGCAACAGCTGATGAAAGATAACAGAAAAACATTCGGGGAGCTTCAGACGCGATAAATAGATCCCGCGCGCATTCTAACATAAGCTACAAAATTTGACATTTCTGTCTCCTTGCAAATTATTTTTCTGTTCAAATCCTCAAAGCTTCCTTTTGTAGTTTTTCACACTTTAAGCTGTGAATTGTCTTACAATTCTATATGCTGAGTAAAAGTAATTGTTTAAGTTACTGAGTCTGAGAGTACTGGTTCATAGGTTCTCATACTTACCATGCTGGAATTACTACTAAAAAGGCCTCTTTAATGGATCTACTAATAATGTTGTGATATTAATAGTTGCACTAAAATTATCCAACAATCTAAAGATAAAAGTGTATTACATGAATACATTAGTAGTTAATTGGTAGGAAAACTCACAAGATGGTTCATGTTAGAATTTTATAATTTTTCAGCAAGCTAGAATAAGAGTTCAATTATATAACTTTTAAGACCCAAAACTCAACTTTTCTTGAAAGTGTTGTAAAATATCATGGGGTTACTCTTACACCATATGTGATAAAATAATTCTCAATTTCAGATTTTAAAACTCGGGCTCACTTTAACACACAAACCATCTCTAGAGATTAGAAAGAATCCTCAAAATTAAATTGTAAAAAACTTCAGAGATTGAAATTCGGACGCGCCTAACATATTACATCGATAGTGTTATATTTGTGAAAGTTTGAAATAGGAGCGACGCCAGGATCCTCATCTAATAAGGCATCGTCTGAGCGCTATCTTTACAGAGTATGGAATATCGCCTTTAGGAAAAATGATGTGTATAATACTGTTATCTCCCCACTAATCATACAAGAACGAGTCATACCACAACTTGGAAAATAGCTAGCCAACGGTCTCCGGGGGAATGATTACCACTTCTTAGAGTTTCCTAAATCTTAGGTGCAAGAGCCTCTACAAATATTTGACCTTTCGAAGGTAAAAGACATATCATAACCTACCCAATATATTGCACGTGAGTTGGCCTCTCTTACCACCGAAAACACCACCATACAAGGCCTCTCGTCGTAGCGAGCAAACCCTAACTGTTATAAACCTACTAAGACCTCTGAGTATCCCTTACACGTGTAGGAATACCATGCACACCTGTATATTTTGACTAGTACAGTGGCGTCCACCGTGGGATTTCGGTAAAACTAACCTGAAGCACATCTTCTTCTACAATCACCATATTCGTTGTTACCCCCGCTCTTGTACCTAGACATTCTCAATCATGGTTAATAGGAAAGTACTTTCCCCTACTCCGAAAGACACAGGGGGAAGCAGTTATGTCAATGCTATGGTAGAGATGTGTGTTGTCGTGTATGAACTATGTTGTCAGAATCAAACCTTAGAGGTCAACGTCCTCAATATTTGACAACTCCGCAAAAGATCAATCCATCAGAGGAGATGGAAGTGCTGGATCTCCAACCACTGTCAGAGGAAATATGGGAAACGCATGTCCCTGAAGGATTCAAGTTTTCTCTTTGGACAAGTTTGATGGGTGCAGTGACACTTATGAACATGTCGCCTCCACCAATACCCAGATGGCCATCATCATAGTGCGCGACTCCCTGAAGTATAAATTATTGTCTGACACGTCCATGGACACCTCCTTGCAATGGTATATGAGTATACCCTAAGCTTCCATCGCCATATATCGAGAGCTGGTGAAGAAACTAGCACACCGATTCTCCGTCAATTATCACAGGAAGATGTCAACAACCAGCCTGTTTAACATATGACAGGGTCCCTCATAATCGTTGATGGACTATTTTGCCCCGTTCAATGTATCTACCATTAGGGTCGTCTCCCCAAACCAAGAAACTTCTGTGGGGGCGTTCCTAAACAGTCTCAAGGCGGGACACTTCATCGAGTCTCCCACCCAAAAGCTGACAATTTCATTCGTCAAAATGGTAACTAGGGAAAAGTGTTACATAAAAGAGGAGGAGAACACCACATAGAAGAAGGATATAGATGTCAAAGAGTGTGTTACTAACTTTGAAAGTTCGCACCATCAAAGGACGAAAAATTACACCTCTCCCATCAAGGACAAAAATGTCTTCAAGAGAGTAGCCAAGGCGGCGGAAAACTTCACGCCTCTGAACACTCGTCGTGAACAAATCTGGCATGAGGTCCTTCACCTACATAACATCCATACACGTCCAACTCCTAAAAGAGGACTTGATGGATCTCAAACCAAGAAGATGGTGCAAGTTCCATAGAGTTAAATGGAAATACATTGAAGATTGTTACTAACTCAAGAAAGATATCGAGAGGCTGATCCATGAGGGACAACTCAAGAACTATGTCAAGGGTGATTCTTCCCGTGGATCAGAAAAATCCACCTGTTGCGGCGAGATGGTGCGGGGAACTCCTTGGCCTAACAAGGCAAAATAGGCATTCACGAGAAAGGATAAATAATTTGTGTATCATACGCTCAATACTATTGCAGATGGCTTTTCCAGAGGCGGGGCGACTAACTCTGCCCGTAGAATTTACGCTCGTCAAGTTATGAATTTAGTATACCTCTATAATAAGGAAGGCGGAAGTGAGCAGATGGCTCCAACATCCGAAACCGCCTTCTATAAGAAGGGTGCATCACACATTGATGACGATTTACTAGTAAGTGTACTAGCACTGTAATCGAAGTAATAAAATAAATTCGTCTCCACATAGATTGTAAATTTAGAACAAGGAATGTTGTGCGATGTAAGTAAAAATTGTAACACCCTTCTAAACCTCGTAGAAAATATATAAATAATCAGAGTAATTATCATTCATCTCATAAAAGGGTGTCACATAAAATTTCAAAAAAAAAATCACACTAACACCTGTCATGCTCAATAACACTTAAAATAAATTCATATTTTTCATACACTTTCACATTAGCATGTAGCAGCGGATTTACTCCAATCATAATAGACATAATGAAAGTCTCATGCTCATCTCATTCATAACCAATACTTAGACATAAAAGTCAATACTTCATATAATTCAAATAACAACAGCAAAAATAAAGTAGAGTACATAAAGTATCTCTCAAAACATGAAATCGAACATCCTAGTGTTACATGATCAGAGCACGACTCGACCCAAAATAAATAAAGACACTAAATCAGCTACTCCAACGGCTACCTCGCGCTACAAGTAACTTTATTCCTCGGTACCTGAGCGATGTCATACAAACATCATTCCAACAGAAGGGTGAGAATTCACATAATTATTGAAATCATAACATAATGCATAATATATAACATATAAGTATAATATGAAGAATCTCACACTTCAAAAGCTTCATCAACATATTATAACTCAAGTAGCCATACTATTCATAAATACACACTCACAATTTCATAATTTCACCAATTAATCAATTTCACATATTGCACATAATCTCATATCGCAAACATATATCCAATGCGACTCAATGCAAGACTCAAATGCAACTCATGCAATGTGGTACCAAACACTTGTTATTATTTTTCGGTTTTTACATTAAACTGGGTCCGTTCCCTAGACCAATAACACACAAAAAGCTCATTTCCTAAGCTTTCAAACCTCGCTATAGGTTTGGGACAAGTCACTAGCTCCTACGGAATTAACATTACCTCTTGACACAAATGATGCATATGCAAATTCCAATTAGTTAACTCCAAATATTGAATGGATTTCAATAGTTTACCAATATATCAATTCCGAACACAATGAAATTAATACATCTCAAAAATTATCAATAAAATCTAACAATTTCAAATTCATGGAAATTTAAGAGTTTCATCTAAACATATTTCTACTCATTAAACACTATCAAATAATCTCAATAATTATATAAAAATTCACCCTGACCTTAAATTTCTTGAATTTCTTGAGTCCCTCTTCTCTTCTCCTCTTCTTCTTCTCTCCTCTCTTCTTGCCTCATTTTTCAACTTCTATCTTTGTATTCTATCTCTTTCTACTTTTGTTAAACCCTCACAATTTCTCATAACCTAATAATTTCTAATGGACTTACTAACTCATTTTCTATTTACACTCCCAATTAGACCCAATTAATTAATTCTACCACTTTCATATTTTATTCCACCAAATAAAATAATTAAAACAAATTAATTAACTCAAATAAACCAATTATTTCAAATAAGTCCAATAAATCAATTAATACAAATAACTCAAATAAGTCAATTAATTTATATAAATTCAATAAATCAATTAATCTATATAAATTCAATAAATTAAATAATTCAAATATATCAAGTAAATCAATTAATTCAAATAAATCACATAAATCAATTAATTCAAATATATTCAATAAATCAATTATGCACAAAACCACTCAATTATTTAATTAATATAAATAAATAAATAATTACTAAAAATTGGAGTATTACAACCCTTCCCTATTTAAAAGATTTTCGCCCTCGAAAATTATCTTAAACGAATAACTCGGGATAAGACTCCCTCATCTAACTCTTAAGCTCCCAAGTCACATTTCCACCAGCTGGTCCTCACAAGCTACTTTCACCAAAGCAATCTTTTTACCTCAAAGTTGCTTCAACTCTCGATCCTCTATCCACATAGGTGATGTCTCCATAGTCAGGTTATCTCTAACCTGCACATCATTTGCTTGGACTACATGAGACAGATCCGTAATGTATTTCCTCAACTGAGATACATGGAACACGTCATGGATATTAGCATGCGACGACAACAAAGCAACCTGATAGGCTACCTCTCATATCCTCTGCAAAATCTGATAAGGACTAATAAAATGTGACGTCAACTTACGCGACTTCAACGTTCTACCAACACCAGTTATCAGAGTAACTCAAAGAAACACATGATCTCCCACTTGAAACTCAAGTGTTTTCCTCCTTTTATCATGATAACTCTTCTGACGACTCTGAGAAACCTTCATCTTCTCCTGAATCATCTTAATCTTATCAGTAGTTTGTTGGACTATCTCAGGTCCAACCACAACACTCTCTCCCGAC